CTCGGCTGCATCCTTCCACCTTCTTCAGGCCTCCCGCCAGGCCACTCATCCTCCTCTACCCTCCTCAGCACATCCCCCATCCTGCCCATTTTCACCCCCACCATCCCCGCTATCATCTCCGTCTTGACCTCGACCCCATTATCCCACAAGCTAACCGGACACCTCCCAAACCCCATCGGCATTTCTCCTCTAGTCATCCCGCCTCGCACCCTCCCCAGATCATGCCTCCCCTCCTCATCCCACCAGCAAAACCCATTGACCACCCACCCCGTAAACGTCGTCTTGCCCGACCCATTCGGCTCATGCCGATCCAACACCCTCTGCCAAAACGTCTTCGTCTCTTTCCCACCCGGGTCTCGAAGCGACCTCACAAAGTTGGAAAGGACATAACCCAACCCACCTCTCCACCAGTCTCTCGCCCCCTGACCAAATCTTCCCGAGGCGAGAAACTCTTCACAGCGGTGGAGGATCTTCTCCCAGTCGGTCTGGTCGCCAAGGAGGGTTATTGAGGGTATACCGCACCTGGTTCCCCAGCTGTAGACAAAGTATTTTTGCATGGAGCCCATCAGCAGGATCGAGGCGGCGATTTCGTCTGTTTCTGTTGTGGTGGTGAAGGAGGGAAGAAAAAACTTGTGGGCTATGTCCGGGTTTGTCAGGGAGGAGGGGAGCAGGGTGGAGGCCATTTGCTGGGCTAGGGAGCCGTGGTTGAGGGTGGGGGATAGGTCGACTGGGATGTAGAGGTCTTGTTTCTGGGCTGGGGAGGACTGTTTCCTGGAGGAGGGGATGAACAGGTGCTGGAGGAGGGTGGCGTTGGCGTTGATGTAGACTGATAGCTGGGAGAGGATGGCGAGCCAGATGTCGTCGGGCCGGAGGAGGAGGTTGTGGTGGTTGGAGTAGGCTTCTATCAAGCTGTAGACTAGGCCGTTTTTGGCGGCGTAGAGAATGGTAGGTGAAGTGGATGGGGATTCTGAGAAGGAAGACTGGATTATGGGTCGCGTTCGAGGAGGGGAGGATCTGGAGGTTGTGTTTGTTTCATGGCTGGTGATGGATGACAGCAGCTGCTCTGGAGAGGTGACTCGTGTGTAAGTCTGGTGGAGACGGGCAGGTTCTGGGGGGTGGCTTGATGGATAGATGGTGACAGGCATGGCTTGGGAAGTCTCCCTGTCTTCCTAGAGACGAACAGTTGCGATGGGAGAGACGAGAACAACAGAGCGGTGTCTAGAGGTCATGGTGTTTAGGGGGCCCCCCTAATCGTACAGAAGACTCGGATATCACATAGTCTTCCATACCCCACCTGGCACAGGGAAGGTGCATCTTGCCGTCTTTAGAAGCATCTGAGTGATCTAGACTGCTCGGGATTCGGGGGACGCAGCCGAAGGACGCGAGCAGTACCGGTCGCTATTGTGCTCTGAAAGGCGTATATCACTGGAATAGACGGCACTAAGCCCTATCTCGTCACCGAGGACCCTCTTGGCCGCCGCATGTCGTGCCGATCGACAGGACCAGTGGCTTGTTGGAAGCTGCTGAATAAGGCAATTTGTAGCCATGGATACAGAACTTGATTGGAGGCTCAGAGGGCGGCAGTCTCCTTCCAAAGCCATCTACCGAACTTGGCGTCGCTGACACCCGATACCGATACAACCTGCCGGTTTCTGATCTGATGAGCAGATATTAGTCACCGAGAGAGCAGTGTTGGGCAAACGCTTGAACATTCCTCAGCCCAGCCTGGAGCAACTTCAGTTGGCTTCAATGAATAACCAGCAATCAGTGCTATGACAGACACGGGCACCCAAACAGAGCTTGACAGGCATGAATATAAGATGAGAGCAGCTGGTCCAAGTTGCGGACTGGAATGGAATGTGTGAAGATTGAATACAGATACCTACCTCAGCTATCAAATCAACGCACGGGCCAGAAACGGAGCAAGAGAGTTAAAAAAAAAAAAAAAACTCTGATTGGGCAATCGTCTTGCAAAACAACTCCGCAGCTGGCAGACGCTCTGCAGGCCTCGCATTCAGCCCTCAGCTCTCAGCCCGCTCTCCTTTCCAACGTCGACATCCCAAACGCGCGCTTTACAGCTGACGACAGCTGCTCGACATCACCAATCCTTCCCCGAACCAGCTCTGCGACCACACGCCGCCTAGAGCTTCGGGGCATTTTTAGAGTCCTATCTGGACAGGAGCATGACATCGACCGTCCCCCGCCCGCAGCGCGGCCGACCGAACAAGGTGACGAAGCCGCAGCCGCCAACGGCACGCGGTCGCCCCACCCGTGGTGTTGTTCCGGGCTCACTCGACGTCCACGCCGCCCATCAGATTCACCAGGCCCATCAGCAGGCTCAGGCTCAGGCTCAGGCCCAGTACGGAGTGCACGCTGCGCCCTACGTGGCTGCTGCCCACGCTGCCCAGCACGCCCTCGACGAGCTCAAGCCCGAGCCCGACCATTCCGTGTTCGACAACGTAGGCGTGGACGTCGGAGTTGGAGTTGGGGTTCCCATGGGCGTCGAAGATACCGCCGCCGCCGCTATGGAATCGGAACTTGGCAATGTGGATGCTCACGGCGAGGCGGAACCCGATGCCGACATGGAGGAGGATGATCATTCAGTCGGAGCCTCCGGCCTTCAACAACACGTTGATCTATCAACCGCCAGCATGCTGGCTAACGGCGGTGCCAATGTTGTGGGAGGAGGAGTCGTGGGCCAGAGTGTTCATGATCACATGCAAGATTTGCAGCAAGGGCTCGCGCATGCTCAGCAACAACACCAACAGCAGCAACAGCAGCAGCAGCAGCAGCAGCAGCAGCAGCAGCAGCAGCAACAACAGCAACACCAGCAGCAACAACACCAGCATCAGCATCAGCAGCAGCCCCAAGCCCAGATGGGTCCTCCCCAGCAGATGCAACCTTCTCACCAGCCGATGGAGCCTCAAATCGTGGGGATCACAGAGGAACTTGCCCGCGAGTCTGGCTACCAGAACCTTAGTGTCGAGAGCGCCCTGGCGAAACGGTTGGCCCGTGAGCCCGGTAGACGTCTTGCGACTCAACGTCGACCAGAACAACAGCTCAACTTGAATCGGCGGAGTAATGTGGAAGCGCTTTTTGCTCATATTTCGGGCACTCTTGCTCCACAACCGTGCAAAAACTGCCACAAAGGCCACGGCCCGTGGAGCGTGTGTGTAGTGGTAGATGGCCAAATGTGTGGCAGCTGTGCCAACTGTTGGTTCAATGCCAGCGGCGCTAGATGCAGTTTCCACGGTATGCCCCTTTCATCGTGATTGCCGTTGAATTTCATACTGACAAAAGACAGAAACTCGCACTCAGCAACCCATGGCCCAGCATGCGGGCATCATGCCGCCGACAAGTGCGGCTTTACCTGCGGATCCCAACTACCGCTACACCCCGGCCCATTCTCTATTGCCACCCGCTCACTCCAATGCCATGCAAGCTATGAATTTTGGCGGAGGAGGCGTTCCGTCTATTAACAACAACCCAATACTCCAACAGCTCGTGAGCAAAGCCATGAACGAAGTGAGGTCGGCTGATCGTGCGACACGTTTGTATTGGCAGCTCGAGATCACGGCCAAGCAGTTGGCTCTTCAATATGCTGAGTACGAAGAGGCCACCGCAAGTCAAAGCCAGCCAGGAGGAGCGGGGAATCAAATTGGTGCTGGCCAACATGGCATGGGCGATGACGGCAGTGCCTAGAAATAACGGCCGTCCTGTCTACGCTTTACACCGCAAGCCACAAGCGGCTTGCAACCAAATCATCACTTGAGGGGGGGTTTCACCATATCTATACCACTGATAACCGCCACACCGCCAGAAATTCGGAGTATGGAAGTCACAGTATCAACCCACACTTTTAGCCCCCTCCCCCCCCCCCCCTCGCAACACTTTCTCGGTACTGGATATCACCATCACAAGACACAAGACCGTGCTGGTCTATTCGGCCAGGCAAGAGGAGGTTTCTTTTTTCGTTCCTCCTCCTCGAAGGACAAGAGCTCGAGGAGGCCAGAGCACTCCGGAGTTTCTTTATTTCTTTTTCTTTCGGAATGGATGCAAATCGATACCCCCTCTTTTTTTCCCTTTCACTGAAATCACCGCAAGGAGGAAGACGATCACCTGACTTCGTCACAATATAAAAGGTCTTTTATCTCCCTCTTTGCCCCTTTTCCCACCCGCCTGCTCGCTTTTTTTCTTTTCGAGCCAGGCGAGGGTTTTTTATGGACTTTGTAATACACAGATTACACAGAACCACTGACACGTGCGCTGTTTTCTTTTTTAATTTCATGTTTTCACAACTTTTGTAACCCCAACATACTTATAGCCCTTGAGTTTCTGTCTGTTTTCCCACCCACCCCTGTCCTGTTGTGTAAGGTTGAGTTTGAGGCTGGATAAAAATGATATTGCTCTATTTGCTCTGGGGATGTATCGTGTTACTCTGGTATGGCTAGGAGATGCATGATATGGTACGGGCAGGAAGTGGTGGGGTATTTCCAGAGAGGAGGTGATTGCACATATATCGCAGGGTTGGTGGCACGATTTTACAACTTTTGAGCGCATATCACTCGGTCAACAAAAGAGCGGAAAAGGGGACACAGATTGACGTCACTGGAGATGGGCAGACAACCAAACTGTTGACGGGATTTGTGGGAGGCTTTTTGTATGTTGCTACTGCTTGTTCTCTGTCTCTTGTGCTGTAACCGGCCAGACTGGAACCGGCCAGACTGGAACCGGGGGCAGGAGAGGAGAGTGAGTGATAGGGGTGTTTCTAATTTGACAAGGAGCAATGAAAGCAAGTTTGTTCTGTCAACATATTGCTTGTGTGAATGATCAACCGACTATTTTTACGTTCACCGTCAATTGCCACGTTACAGTGAAACATGTCAGCGGCGGTTGCTTAGCAGATGTCTCCTGCAGGTCCGGTATTTGGGGTCATGTAGGTCCTGGGTCAATCTAACTGTAACTGTGGGATCACTGGATGGTGGTGCTGAGCCGCTTTCTGTCCTCCAATGATGATGCTCTGTCTATAGGTTCCATTCAGCGCCTCGGGGGGATCGTCGCGAGTAACAATCCATCCTATTCGTTGAGAAGAAAATGCAGTCTGAGAACTGGAAACAAATCTAGTAAAGTGACTAAAGCCAGATCTCCAGCCGCTTTTACCCACTGCTGAAAGTCACTGTTCGGTACCAAAACCTACTTTGTAGGTAGCCAAAGCCCGATGGCATAATCCCCAATATGCACAAGGCTGGCTTAGCTGTGCCACTACTAAACAACACCCTTAGAACATATCACTCACATATAATCTTTCACCGCCTCCAGCACCCCGTTACAGGAATGTAAAAGTCCCATGATGTACATCCTCCCTGTTTATATCACCCCTTTATGACCAGATCCACAAATCGAAACACTCGCTACTGCCTCACCTTTCCATGCCTTTTTGACCCCCCAAAACTGAAGGTGGTATGGTGTGGTGTGGTGTGGTGTGATGTGGTATGGTATTCCCACCCCCGTGTTTCATCCCCCATCATCTACTGTAAGTACCGAGGAATCACACCTTATCCCACGTCCCGTTTTCCCACTGCGAAAAACACCATACAACTCCAAATTGAAAATAATCACCATTGTGAAGGAAGAATGACGTAAATGTCTGCAATGGCTGTGCAAGGAGTCAATATACCTACCATGTGTCGCCAGTACAAAAAACGAGTGTTGAGATCAACACTGTTACGCAGCCTCTGTTTCGGTGTTGCCGGCAATAATACTAGCTAGGATCCTGCTGGAATCATCTAGACAGCGCTTCTCGTCTATACCTAGTCATCAGCAGTTTGCTACTAGACCGCGTGTCACTGGCAGTGTCATGTCTTGCTCATGACAACCAACAACTCCTTCCGTCAAACGTTTGCTTTATCACTCATCTCAAACTTTGTTCAGTCATACGGATATGTTCAGTCACCAACTCAACAAGCAGATACGGTATTCAGAAAAACACCCATTCAATTCACCGGCCCTCCACCCCCTCCCCTCCTCCCCCAAAACTACACATACACAATAACAACAACAACAACAACAACAACTACACACATCTCTCGAGAAAACTACCTAAATACCTTCCCCCCCTAACAACAAAACACCCCACCCACCCATTGCTCCAAATATTTAACAACCCGAAAAAGAAAATCTCTCTCCTCTTCTGTTCAAAAGAAACAGAAAACGGGCAGAGTAACAGAGAAAGTGTGTGTGTGTGTGAGAGAGAGAGAGAAACAATAAACAGTAGAAAAAAGAAACAACAGAAAAAAGAGGAAAATGCGCAGTTAGCACGGTGGTATATCATCTCCCCTCCCCTCCCCTCCTCCAACCCTCATCCTCCTCTCTGCTTCTCAATCCCCTCCCCTCCCCTCCCCCTCTCTCTCTGTCCGTCTCCCACTCATCACCCAACCCCCACCCCAACCAAGCCATCCCATCATCCATCCCTCATCCATCCCCCACACTCATCCATTGCATAGAAGTAGTATAGTCGTAACGGTCGTCCAGCATTTCGATTGGAATGGAGGGGGGCAGTTTGAAGGGAGAGAGTGTGTGTTGACATGGACCGTTGTGTTTTTCCATTTGACTTTGTAGAACAAAAAATCATATAGAGTTCAACAACAGACAGACAAGTCAGAGAGTGATTTTTCTTTTCAGAGTGAGAGGTAGAGAGTGAGAGAGAAAGAGAGAGAAATAGAGAGAACCAGCGCAGACAGGATAAAATGAGATGAAAAGTAAAAAAGGAAAATAAAAACGACATCATGATTAAACAACATATGTATCCCTTCCCCTGTTCCTCCCCCAAAACCAGATTCCGGTTTCTTTTTCGACCATAAAAAACGTCTGCTGCTCTCTCCCTAAACCTCTCTTTCGTTGTGTTGGAGATACACGCAATACGATTCATACATCGGGGATCGCCATCCCCGACTTTTCTCCAGTGGCTAACAAATAAAGGGGAGACCTGATGAAGTGACAAGGTCAAGAGCGATGAGGATTGGAGGATGCTGGGAGGTAGGAGGGTAGGACCAGTTGTGGGGGGCGAATAAGCTTCATGGTACGCGCCGTTTCACATCAGGGTCGGTGGGGTATATTCGATGTTCGGCCGAGTGCCATGAAGTGTGACTGATCTCTGGCGGACAGCATGGTGTTGCGTCCGACGAGTCCAGTCGTCATCTGATCTGCTATCAGATGAGACCGCAGAGGCGGAGGTTCTCCTGGATGATGATATCTGTGACAGTTAGCACCTAGTTGGCACCCGGACGTGAAAAATGAACAAGCTTACCATTCACAGCAGCCATCACGAAGCGGATTTGCGTTGTGTCCGTGGCGCAAGTAAAATGTGTGTAGATCTGCTTGCTCTCGTGCTGGTTCAGGGACACGAAACGGTTGAGGATGTAGTCGCAAGCCTGGCCGTAGTCATCACCACCCTCGTAGTCGGGGAAGTAGTTCTTCATTGGGCTGACAGGGAGCTTCTCCTTAAACCTGTCGATCTTGTTGAGGAAGAGAATGATCGAGGTCTTGATGAACCACCTGGAGTTGCAGATGGAGTCGAAGAGCGTGAGAGCTTCTTGCATGCGGTTGACCGTCTCATCCTCAAACAGGAGCTGATCGTACTCGGAGATAGCGACGAGGAACAGGATGGTCGTGACGTTCTCGAAGCAGTGAATCCACTTCTTACGTTCTGATCTTTGACCGCCGACATCGAACATCCTATACGTGAGCTCACCAATAATGAAAGTCGTCTCCGTGATACCAGTAGTCTTGACACGGGACCGAAGGACATCTTGGTCGTTGGGCATGTAGTCGGGGGCGGCGATACGAGCGATGTTGTCAAAGTAGCTGGAGTGAATGGGTTAACAATGATTGCACAGCACATTTGCAAGCACAAAGAAACCTACTATCTGGCAGAGTCGTTGAGCTGATACTCTCTTGAGCGCTTGAAGCAGCTCTGGACACCGGCATCTCTCCACAAAGCCTCAATGGCATTGCCAACCTCTGGGGGGAGGACATCTCCCTCAATCTGAGCTGGTTGCATGAAGATGGTCTGGACGTGGTACTCCATGCGGGCATCGGCCAATGGCAACTCCAATGACTCCATCGCCTCGAGAATGACGCGCATCGACTGGACAGTGTTGCTGAAGATGATCTCCTTGAAGGACTCGCGCTCGTCGCGCGAGTAGCCGCCCTCATGGATCAGCTTCATCTGCTTCAAAATAGTTGACTTTCCGGATTCACCAGCACCTGCGATTGATGGTTAGCCCCCGGGGGGTACTGATAACAGGGCACCTCGCCGGCGTCCCTCGCGCCATTGGCCGATGGGACGACGACTCAGCGAACAATGGGCCACATAAGGACCCGCCGCGGAGACGATAAAAACTCACCCAGAAGCAACATTTTGATCTCGTTGCGCTGCTGCATCCGATCCCTCTTCAACTGGTTCTCAATCTCCTCGTTCCGGGCCTTGCCCTCCTTCTCCTCTGTGCTCATTCCGCAACCCATCTTGGCTTAGATGTCGATGACAAATCTGATCAAAAAAAGGTATGTTTTCAATCGGGGGATATTAATTCGAACGAAACGGTCTGCTGATGGGAAGAAAACACCACGCGTTAGTCTATCCAGTCGTCGAGAGTTGAGATGATGATTTTACGGTCGCGCGTTTGGCCTGGGATTGCGACCTCTCTGGGCTGGGCAGGGCCGATCGGCCGATTTTCGTCGCCGTCAACTCCCTCTTGTCCTCTGCCACCTTCCCGCGATGACAAAGCCCGCCTCTCTCCCTCTCGACAGCGACAGTGATGGATAACCCTTCGATGTTTACACGATTCGCAATTCAATTCGACGTCGGGACAGAGTCGCTTTGATGGAGCGCCACGAGAACCCTTGGTGTGTGGCAGAAGAAAGGCTTGCTTGCTGGCTGTCCTGGGGAAAAGCCGTTTGGGGGGTTTGGGGGTGCGGTGTGTGTGGGTGTGTGTGGGAGGCTTCACTCACTATTGTTTCCGGACAACCGGCAAACCGTCAATCGAACGGCTATTAGGACTTTGGTTGTAATGAAGGAAAGGGAAAAGGCTGATGGAAAACAACACGCCGCGATGGTTGTTCGAGTCGGGGGTCGGGTTCGGCAGTCAGACAGAAAGGGCGGGTTGGCCTTGCTGTGTGCTGCTCAACTCAGGAATCAGGATCGCGGGAGGGTGTGAGCCGGAGGTCAAAGGAAGAGGAGGAGAGTGGGAGGGTTGGTTCTGTTAATGTGAAGGAAACACGGAGCCATGCACGCTGCAATTCGGGGGGGACCAGTAGCCCAGCCAATGGCAGCGAATTTTTTCTTCGGAGCTTGCAGGAATTATGGGGCCCCCCAAGATCCCTAACTGGCCAGAGCCCGGACATTGTTCCCTTTGGCAAGCAAGCAGCCAGAAAAAATAAAGATCCCCCCCCTGAGGAGCCGGCCCCCTGACCCCCTGTCCAGTCTGAAGCCGGCAACCCTGATGATACTGAATTACTGATGGTGCTACCTGTTGTTCTACGCCTTCCACTGCCTCATCGATGTCTTTTCTCGCTTCTCGGCTTCGCATCCCAGCCTGCTCTGAGGCTGCCCGCTCAAGAGATCGCCTGGAGGCGCGCATTTGACCGAGACCTCCTTCGATCAAAATGGTCTTTTGGGCTTCCCGAAAGAGCAACCCCTGGTAGCACAAGGCACTGGGCAGTGGAGTGGCGCCCGCTAGTGAGAGACGGCGCCATTAGCCGAAACAACTCGCAGATGATGGGATTTTTATCTATCTACCGGGGCTAGCATACACCTACAGTAGCATCATCACGACAACCCCGTGACAGTTTGTTGGAAGGTCTTTCTCAGACCGAGACAAAAAAGAAAAGAAATCGGCCCCATCGATGGCGAAACTGATATATTACCGTGACAGCCCCAACCCCACCACCATCTCCTTTGTTTCCCGCATCTCCACCACCAGTTCGCCTTTCCCTTCTGCCGCCCTATTGACCCCTCCTTTGAGCGGTCTTGAAACACCCCCTCCAAGCCCCCAATCGCCTGGCTTCCAGTTCCAGATCGACCATCATCGAGCTGGGTGTTTTGCCCCCGTACTGTTACAAGGCCACCATCCATTGTTGTCAGGTCTGGTTTACCATAACCTCTGAGCTGGCAAAAAATAAAAATGAATTTAAAAAAATATCAACATCAACAAAGCCAAACACGGCAGAAAACGTTGATCGCCAATGTCTGAGACATCTCCGTCTCTGAGCTTATTAGCAGATCGCCAGCCAAACAAACAGCTCCCCTTACATCAAAGCCCATCATCCATCCCTCTTCCGCATTTTCCGTTGTCAAAGTTGTCTCTCAAACCGCAGAATGAACAAAAAAACTCCGGAGTGCCTGCCTGCCCATCATCGTCGCATCATCCCCAATGCCTCGATACCTGCAACCTGCATCTGTTAATCTTCCACATCCACCCCCAATCCCAGGTCACAATGGAGAACAGTGGATACAAATCTCCAAAAACCATACGACAAAAAAACCACCGGGCCCGTCCGTGACCACGGACTGCCCGTCATTTTTATAAAGACGGTAGACCACTTCGCCCGGCCGCCAGGGAGTACCGCCGGCGTCATGTCCAATTCATTTGCTTGCGTGAATACTGAATCGCGGCCTGCTGCTGCTCGTGAGGTTTATGCAAGTAAGGTTAGGAAGCGCGCGCTCTTCACCGCTTTTGCAACACCAAAACAAGGGTCGAGTAGTTGCCCAGGTGGGTGGTAATACCAATATCAAAAACAAAACCTTCTTTCATGCTTCCACAACAAACCCGCCCCCATGGCACTGTTCCCTCCCGGCTGTGAAGGTCCAAATGAGATACCACGATACATATATATATATATATATATGGTTGTCCCAACCTCCTCTCCCTTCTGGAACGTTGCGTGCCCTCCTCTACAACATCGTCATCATCCGTGCACACCAAAACACCTTCCCAATATACTACAAAACTGTACCTCAGTCAATGCAGTCTTTTGAAACGTTGCCATAATTAGCCGAACACTCAACTATGCGACAGGCAATCGTCCGTCAATCGTCTGTGGCCAACAGCGTTGAATAGGTACAACAGCCACATCTGCGGCCGTTCGCAGCGCCATCCCAAGCCCATTGACGAGATGTGTTCCGGTTGCTCTGCCGCCATGTTGTATCTCGTAGCACCTTGTATGGCAACAACCTAAACCCCTATGACGAAAGGGCAAAACACAATGCGACGGATCGAGGCCGATAGTAGTGGCCTGGATATGCACATATCCATTGTACGATAATCCTTGCGGTATCTTTCGTTGCCGCAAGAAGTTGGCAACCCCCTGGCACCCCGCTTATGTGATCGACAACCCTCTTGCTGCAGGTGTCCGCTCTCTCATGATCCGATAGAGAAAGCCGCAGTGTCCTCTGCCTATCGACATTGCCATGCATGAATGCCGTGATGGACACAACAAACAAGGCCCCTATTCTACATCTTTCCTGGGACGAAAATCGAAAAGTTGGCTAGGTATGGTTGCTATCAAATTCCCGATCGCTGGAAATTGTCTGTAATTAAAAGATCCAGCAGGTCTAGGAAGCCCTCAGACCTGCGCTGGGTGGAACTACTACAATCGACTACCTAGATTGGAGCCCGCCAACCGCGTGTCTGTGGATCGTGAAAAAAACAACAGAGCCAATCCCCTGAGAGAGAAAAGCTGCTGCTCCACTCCTTTGGTGCCTGGGCAGATGTGAGGAACAGCACGCTGATTCGACCTCCACGATGGAGAAATGCGAGGATGTCATGGAGGGTTCCATCGTCAACCAACTTGCTTCTGCTGCACGAAAGATCCCCGCCGCCTCCCGCAATTGCGAAATGTAACTTCAGCTGACAAGAGCCTGGCCGCCGGCGTGACCGCCTGCGCCGCTGCTGCTGCAAAAAAAAACCCCAAAAAAAAAAAAAAAAACCGCTGTTACCAGTTACCCGGAATCTGCGTTGTGCACCATGGTTCAAGTTATTTCTTTTCGTGCTGGTTGGCGAACGCCTTTCGAAGCTTTCCACAGGGCCAGCATGCGAGGCGCCCATTGATATTCCGTTTAGATGCATGAAAGGTTGAGCCGCCCAGCTGCCGAGCCAGCTTTAAATTAATTTCGCGTCCCAAGACCCCAGCATCCCCCTTCCGGTTGGCGCTGGCAGTATCAGACGCTAAGATCAAAGAAGCAATCTTCTAGAAGCTGACGTTCGTGGAGACCTCGGGAAGAAACTCGTCAAAGCGGTCCTTTTCGTGATGGGATGAAGGCTGCGGCGTGGCAAACAAGGAAGAGGCGTGGGAAATAGGGGCTCGATCTTCCAGGTTATTCTTGTCAGATATCAACTCAAGAACAAGGGAAGTGACGGTTGCGAGTGTTGGGTTTCTCGTTTCATTGACTTTCAGAAACAGTGTTGTAAGGGCCTTGAAGACTCTTTGCCCATGACCGACGCGCTATGCTCAAGCTGAAGGGAAGGCGGTCGATATGGGATGAACCTGCAGCTCTCACGCGATGTGTGGCTCCCCGCCATCATCTGAGCCTGTACGATCTCCGTTCAGCGCCTCTCACAGCGGGCCGGCCTCGTTCTTGGCACTCTTACGCGCCACACCGCTCAATGCCTGATAGAGACTAGGGTCCCCAGCACTTCAGTTGGTGATCACTTCGGTTGTTGATGTTCCACAAGAACAATCCTCTGTAAAAGACTCCAGTTTCGACAACCCTGGCAGCCTCGCGAGCCAGCCTTGCTACTATAACCTGAATAGTGGCATAAAACGACGACATGGCGTCGTCCGCTATTCCGCTAGAGCGTCTCGGAGGCCATGGTATGCCCTTCGTAAACAATGGCGGTGTACTCGGGTCTAATGTGTATAAACAGCGTTCAACCACAGGACCAGTGTAGAGTTGGAGGAAGAGTATGATCGTTTGAGAGATCTGGCTCGGGCAGAGGCAGAGAAGAAGAAGTCATGCTTTGATCGGGTACGGGTTGTCCTCCTATCTCGCGGTAGAATCTCACTAACTACATTGACGACGGCAGGCTCATGAAGCATATGAGCGTGGGGATGGCGCCGAGGCAAAGGCTTTGTCGAACGAGGGCAAACGCCATCAAGCGAAGCAGGCCGAATATAACAAACAGGCTGCTGAATTCATCTTCCGGGAGAACAACGCCATGGGCCGGATAGCTGAGGATACCATCGACTTGCATGGTCTGTTTGTTGAAGAGGCAGAGGATATCCTCGAAGCCAGAATCCGTGATGCTCAGGCTCGCGGTCAGTCCCACTTGCACGTCATTGTCGGGAAGGGCAATCACTCAACTGGGGGGGTCCGAAAGATTAAGCCGCGTGTTGAGCAGCTCTGCCGAGAACTCGGTCTCGACTATGCCACAGAGGAAAACGAGGGGCGTATCTATGTTGATCTTGGTGGCAACCGTGTCGAGGCTCCTCCCCCTCTGCCCCCACAGCCAGATGGGCACCAGTCGCACAGCCGTCCCCAGAAGAGACCGCATCGGCCCCGGCCAGAACGGCCCCAGCGTCCACAACGCCCTGAAGAGCCGGAGGACGATGGCATCTTCGGCTGTATCAAGGCCTGTTGTACGGTTATGTAGGGCCAAAAAGTTGGAGATGTCGTTTGTTGCCTTGGGGGGGCTTGTGTGTATTGTTGGAATGAAAGTATATGGGATACGATGTGAATGACTGCATTGGAAACACAAAGGAATCTGGGATATATATCTATATGTCTTTGGCAAGTTGGTCTGTTGGTCTGGTCAAATTTCAGGATAAAGAGTTTGATGACTGAACCGGGCTGAAGTGGGCTTTTTTCGAGTTGGCCGGTGGCCGCCTCGCACTACAGAAAAGACAGTAAAAGCTCAACATTTGTTTGAAATCTGTTTGGACATGTCATGACACCTTCCTGCTGCCTGCCGCGCTTGCCATCTGCCGCGCTTGCCATCATCTGTCTGGCACATGATTTTGCACTTTCGACTGTCATTTGTCGATGTTGCAACACGCCCTTCCTGCTTCCTCGAGCTGCTTTCCGGTGCCATGTCGCTAAGTTGTTGTTATTGATAAGTCCAACACGTTGTTCATGATGCCCATCCTCTACCTCTTCAATACCTAAGTAATAACCATCTTCTAGACCTCACCACTCTTCAGACATCCTTGATGCATTTCGACCGCTACCTCTAGACTCATCTCAACAACCAAAACACACCTCTCCTCTAACCCAGTCCTAATGTATGCCGTCCTGCCCTCAACAATAACCCGCTTGGTCACCCACCGGAAGCCCTCCCGGCCTCCACACGGTATCAAACGACAACACCACCCCCTCAACCTAACCATAACGCCCCACCTCGACTCTCACCACCCCCTCTACTCCCGCCTCGGCCCCAACTCCCTCTCCCGCTACCCCCACAACCCCAAAATGGAAACCCTCTTCACAACCTCCAAGCCCAAACCCCAAATAACCACCACCACCACCACCACCCCCTCCGCCACCCGCCTCGAAATCATTCTCCTCGCCCTCTTCATCCTCTCCCTCGTCCTCCTCCTCCTCCTCATCCTCGCCCTCGCCCTCCGCCGCCAAGTATCCACCTCAACCAACAAACGCCGTCACCACCGCAGCAGCCACCAACCCGACGTCCATGGCCGCACCTCCTCACCATGTCTATTCAACACGGCCTTCGGCGGCGGCCCACTCCCTCACGAACCCTTGCTGTCTTCTTCTACCTCGTTACCCGCAGACGGGAACGAGAAAACGTCGCTGCTCAACCGCGTCAGAAAGGCAAGCGAGGATCTTGCAGAGGCGGTGCAATACGAGTTGATGGAGCTGGGAAGGAAGGTCTCGGCGCATGGGAGGGCGGTAATGGTGGGTGCCACCGCGGCGAGGAGGGAGCAGCAGGAGAGGAGGACGGCGAGGGATGAGGAGGTTGGGCTGGATGCCGCCGCTGGGAGTGGTCTTGCTGGTCAACAACAGCATGGGTTTGACGGTTGGAGGGATCAAGACTGGGGTTGGGATACGGAGGCTTGTAGTATGGTTGGGCCCAAGCCGAAGCCGAAGCTGGAGACTGTGGTGAGGAGGTCGATTAGTTGGGTGATGGATCGGGGTGGTAGGAGGTCGAGTTATGCTTACTCTCGGGGGTTTGCTTCGCCTTGTAATACTGGTGGATTTAGGCCGAGGATGGGGGTTGGTGGTGGTGGTGGTGGCGGGAGGAGGAGGAGTTTGGCTGTGACGGGGGCTGAGTATGCTGTGTGAGACTGAGAGAAGCTCGTGAGGGCTTTGATTTTCTTTGGAAACTGAAAGAATGGGTAACTTAACATGGTTGATATGTGTATCGTGAGAGCAAATAGGTGGTAGTGGTTCAACCTATCTATAGATTACGCGCACCTAGAATATGTATCAGCTTTGCTTAGCCCCGATGTCATATCTCCTGTCAAAGAGATCCCCCAAGCACATGACAAACACCACCATATATAAATGTCGAGAAAATAAGTTCAACCGTCATCTTCTCATTCCCCTCTCCCTTCTTCCTACTCGTCTAAGTAAGGTGATTTTTGACACACACCAGAGAATTTTTGTACACTTGTTTCCCCAAACCACCCATCGCTAACTCGGAATCTCCTTCTCTTCCAGCGCCATTCCTCTCTCTTGCCTCGTCTGTCTTATCTACCCCTCCGTATCGATTGTTTTTGTGGTTTTATTTTTTGCGTGAATTTGATTTGGTGATCTAGGCTTGCTTCCTGATCTCCTTGGCAGCCTGCTTCAAGCTGGAATTGCACTCCTCGTACGCCCTGCCGGCACCGAAGCCGACGCCGACGAAGGCGGGCCACGCCCTGCGCTTGAAGAGGAGGACTGAGAAGACTACGCCGAAGCCGAGGCCGAGGGAGGACTTGATGATGAGGTTGGAGAAGCAGCGGTCCCACTGAACACACACACACACACACATTGTTAGTAACTACTGGTACTGTTGATTGGTGTATAGGTATGTTGGGGACGGGGGGGGGGGGTCGGACCTTCTCGTTGAGGAGGGCTTCGCTGACGGGGCGGGAGACAGCGCGGGAGGTGGGGGATGTCGTCGTCGCGGGGGCGGTGTCGGCCATTGTGATTGTGTGGGAGTGAGTGCTGGAGGTAGGTTGGTGCGGTGGTTAGTTATTGAGGGGTTGGTGGTGGTGGTGGTGGTTGCGGGGATTGTGAATTCTCAATGCAAGCATGTGAGGAGGAGCTTGGGGGAGCTTGGTATATC